CACCTTCTCTATGTTTTAAGTTCTCTGCTTTAATACCGTAGCGTTCGTTCATTGTATTATTTTAAACTTTTAACTAATAATAAAACGTGAGTTATGAATCAAGACTAAAACGATATACTCAGTAAAAAATCCACAGGCACATGGCTTGATTTCTTCTTTAACTTCTGAGCTGGGAGGAATGATCTAACCCTGTGGTAAGTTGGACCTTTCACTTTAAAGGTGGAGCGGCATTTATAACTACATTTCTTTGAAAAATAAACAAAAATTTGAAGGTTGATGTGTCACGAGAAAAATAACTACGAAATGACTTGGGTAAAACGGCTTTCCCGTTCAAATTACACATTCCACATTCGTTAATTGCGCTGGTCATTACATACTTACATATGATAACATAATATTTTTGTAAGTTTGTTTGTTGTTGTAGTTTTGTTTTTGAATGCCAAGGTATTATTATTAAGGTATTCTGTCAGTATTTGTTATTCCGCTGTTACATATTCCACTAAGATTTTCTTGAAGATATGCCTCACCCCCATCAGCAGTTTCGGTCGCTATTTTTATACTCTTGCAATATGTTGCTACAAAATATTATAAGGGCAATTCAGAATCTTGTGCATYTGAGTTTGCAAAATTATGCAATTGCAAATATTTACCATCAACAATGAACGTATTTTTTGTGGTTTCTGTCAATCCTTGTTTGTAAACAAAAACGAAAAACTTGAAAATGTTCCAAAAAAAGTTTTAGGGGAAAATTAATTGACACTTTTTTTGATAAAGCTGATGAAGAAATTACGGACATTAACTGCAAGAAATATTTGTATGCGGCACATTCACAAATTTCACTTTTACTTCTGGAGGTTCCTGCAAGAAATCCAGGATATTCCGGATTTCTTTTTCGTTCCACTTTTTATTCGGCTTTTCGTGTTTTAGCATTATGTTGTCCACACCGGTTTGCTCCATTTCTTCTCTTTGTTTCCAATGTTTTTATTTTTGACAGCAGCTGGTAATTTGCAAACCAGTGTTGCCAAACCTTTGTCTGGAAAACTCGTAACGTCAACTCCTCAAATGTTGTCATCGTCCATTCCTCTGCACCATATACTAGTACGGAAATAATGAGAGGCTTACAAATTTTGGTCTTTGTCCGTCGAGGGAGGACTTGACTTTTCAATTCCCTATTCAGTCTGAAGAAGCACCTGTTGGCAACACTTATTCTGCATTKGATTTCAGGGCTGATAGTGTTTTTGGTGTTAATTCTGGTTCCAAGTTAAACTAAATGATCTAGTGCATTATCGTGGTGTAAAAACCAAGAATAGTCTTTCCACAATTTCGGCCTTTTTAGGCGGTTTTACGTAAATGACGCATAACGTTCAAATGATATTCCTTGTTGACTGTTTGACCGGTTGGAAGGAATTCATAATGCATAACACCACGATAATCGAAGAAAACAATCAACATGACTTTGATTTTTGAGCGACTTTGGMYGAATTTTTTGGTCTCGGCTCTCTTTTGGCACGATACTCGCTCGATTGATCGGTTGTTTCAGGGTCGTAAGCATAGAACCAAGTCTCATCGCCAGTTATAATGCATATCACGACACCCTAGTAGTCGGAAAGCATCGTTTCACACACTTCAACGCGACGCCTTTTTTCCAAAAAAAACAATGTTTCCGGTACAAGTCGAGATTTGACGCGTTTGCGGCCCAAAACATCCTTCAAAATGGTATTGGATAAGCCTTTCGATATGCAACTTCTTAAGCAAGGTCCCTAATTGTTAATCGATTTTTCTTCAACACCAAATCTTTGATTTGTTGAACGTGAGCTTCGTGGGTTGAGGATGGCCGGCTTGGCCGGAACTCACTATACCACTTGTAAACACTTTTTTTAGGCATAGCCTCTTCACCAAAGGCTTTCTGCACCATCCTCAACATATCCGCAGCTGAAAATTGATTCCGTAAACAAAATTTAATGCAAATTCTTTGCTCAACAAATTTCGACATCGCAAAAAACGAAAAACTCACTTTTAGCTGCTCACAAAACGACTCGTATCTCAAACACTGATGAATATCTAGACATAAAATTTGACATAAATGACAGTACTGCAAACCTAAAAAAAAAATAATTCTCCAAATCCTTCGACGCGCGCAGTTTAAATTTAAATGTCACCTTTTGGGCACGGTAGTATATGGCATGAAGACCTTTTATATAAGGTTAAAAATATTCTTCGATTAGAATTGTATAAAACATTGGAGTCTTATTTAAAAAAGCGAGAATTTGTGGCTAAAGTATGAAATTGCATATATGATGAAGGCAGAGCAGTGTTTTAGGCCTGGATAAATGAGTTAAGCTTCCCGCCCTCAGGCGTCACCACACCACACAACACACCACTCACAAGCAACTCTGACACATACACCACACTTAAAGACAGCAGTTTCACCACACACCACACATCCATTGGAAGCAGCAGAAAACACCACACACACCAATACWAGCGGCTACGAATCTACCACCCCCCAACGAGCAAAAACCGTCGTCCTGGAAGAGGCGCGGCCCTTTTCGATCACGAATTTCGATTAGGAAACATYGGCGGACGTTCTACCTTTTTTCCGTATTTTCGGCACGCAGCTCAACCATCTTTGTTTGGATTTCTCCGTATTTTCGTCGGCAGCTCAACCATTTTGCTACATCTGGCGATCTTCCGCGCGCAGCAGTTCAACAAATATATTATCATAATTTCGATATATAATTATATTTTCATAACCATACAACCTCCACTGGTATCCGACCGGTGAGTTCATTAACTGAGTTTTTATATACATATATTTTTACGCCTCCACTGGTATCCGACCAGGGAGATTTTTATTAAAACGCTAAAATAAAATTGTGATCCCAGTTTTTAGTAAAACTTTGCATTCTGAAAGTATTCTTTCCGGAGTGGCTGTGAAAAGTAAGTGAAGAAGTGAATGGGAAATCATATATGGTCCTTCGAACCATCCTGAATGGCACTATTGTGGAAAAAATAATAATAATAATAATAATAAAACAAGGAAATTGTGACACAAAATTATAAGGCGAAAAAAAAAGCTAAAAATATTAAATTGAAGTGACAAGTAAAGGGAATAAGTGCGCAAGCTCAAATGCAAGTGCAAAGTTGCAGTAAAATTGAAATGATTTAAATACATATAAACATCTTCTTCTTGATTGGCGTAGACACCGCTTACGCGATTATAGCCGAGTTAACAACAGCGCGCCAGNAACTCTGGTGCAATCAGAAGGTGGAGAGTGGTTAGGAGGAAGGTTGCAAATGACACAGGAAGGAGTTTTCTCGCAGTGTTTAGCGGTGTGTCCTAATAGCTGACAAGTTTTGCGGCGCATAGGATTAGGGTAGTACGGACGGACATCTAGGGTTCTCCAGGCTACTTCAATTCTGTTAGGAAGTGTATATTTATGGAATGTTAATAATACGGCACCAGTAGGTACACGAACGCCTTTAACGATTTTGTTAAACTTATGAACTGCAGAGACACCTTGATCCTTGAGACCTTCAATTATTTCATCGTCGCTAAGTTGGCAAATAAAGGGGGCATAAATTGTGCCCTTGACTGAGTTAAGGGTGCTGTGAAGAGCGACTTCAACAGCACCTGCACCGGRTAGATTCTTAGTGAAAAGGAATTTATCAGCAATATTTTGATTTTTTACGAGAAGGAGTAGGCTGCCATCGCGAAGTGACGAGATGTTGTTAATATCTTTATTGATAGATTGAATACCTTTATAAATCGCGAAGCAGGAGATTGATGTAATAGGTTTACTGGCATCCCGCGACTTAATGACGAGGTATTTTGGTCATCCTTCTTTGTTATGGGGAGTTCCGGAAATAGTTCCAACGTAGATTGTTCAGGCTTTTTTCTTTTAGTCTTCTGGGCTGAGGATAATAGGGCAAACCTATTATCGCCCAGATTGTTGGCCCCAGGGGGCATTGTGAAAAAAATGTATTAATGTAGCACAAGTTAACAATAAGAAAATAAACACAGCGAGAAATAAACAGTAAAAAAGTTTTTTGTGCACAACTGTAAAGTAGCGTTATAACACAGACACCGCTAGAATGCAGATACTAAACGACAGCACAAGCGAGAGAAAAAATGCGACCCTACGGTTTGAAAACACGATTGCGAATGCGCGCGAATTAAAACTTCGAAAAATAGGAAAAGAAAGTATTGTTCTGCCGATACAGATGTGGCAAAAGAAATTGGGCGGGAGCGGCGTCAACAGATGTTGCGTGCATGGTCAGGTTATTGCCTAGATTTTGATGTTTACACGGGAAAAAATAATGCTAGCGTTGAAACTGACTTAGGTGGTAAAGTTGTAAGAAATTTTTGCGAAAATTTGAAACACAAAAATCATAAAGTCTATTTTGACAATTATTTCAACACTTACTCGTTGGAAGTTAAATTACGATAAGATAATATTTTCGCCTGAGGAACTGCGAACTCAAATAGAAAGTTCTTACCAACGCTAAAAGAAGACAAGCATTTGCAAAGAGGAGAACATGATTTCCGGATGAGTGACACAAAAATATCATTTTTGAAATGGAAAGATAAGAGATCAGTTTTCATGTTATCAAGTTATCATGACCCTAAGGATGTCAAYAGTCCCTTCAGAAATTCGTCTTGAATCCAGTTGCCATCAAACTGAAGGAAGCACATCAAGAAGATTCTGTCTATGCAGCACTAAAATATTTCCAGTCCGTACTGTATGGCAGTGTAGTACATGCAAAGTGGCTCTTTGTCTACGCAAAGGAAAAGCTTGTTTTTCAGATTTTCRTGAAGAAAAAAAATTTCCTTAGTTTCGTTCCGGAGAATTTCATTATATCATATAATATTAATAAACAATATAAGTAACTCATAATTGTTTTGTTTCTATCAATAGTCACGGTGGTTAGTGCCACTAACCACCTCATACCTCGAAAACCTTCACACGTGGATTTTTATACTCTCGCAACAAAGTTGCTAAAGAGAGTATTATAGTTTTGTTCACATAACGGTTGTTTGTAANGTTGAGGCCAATGATATCAATATCATCGGCATACGCCAGCAGCTGTACACTCTTATAGAAGATGGTACCTTCTCTATTTAGTTCTGCAGCTTGAAGAAAATAAAAATTAAAAWGAGCGCAAATGCAAACAGTATATGCAGTGAAATTATATATATATATATGTATATATATAAAAAAATAGAGTCCAGAAACTGAAAATAATATAATATAAAAAGGGGAAAAAAGTATGTGTTAAAAGTGCCTATATACTTACCAATCCATCCCAAAAATTTGCTTGTATATAAATACATATACTCGTATAATAATACAAGGAACAAAAATTCGTGTGCCCGAAAAAAGCGCAACAACAAAGTTCTGGGTAGTGACAAAAAAAAAAAAAAAATAAATACACATACATATATACATAACAGTGCGGTAAAAAAAAGTACGCAGTTACCAAACAAAAAACAAAAAACAGAATTAAAAATAGAATACCACAAAACAAAAATCAGCGGGCGCGAATAAAAAGCCGTATACTATGTATGCAACAAACACATGTTAAAATAAAACGGGCGCGGAGTAAACCAACAAAGAAAGAAAAAAAAAACCAACAACCACTGGSAACCCTTCGCAGCATTCCAGGGCAGGATTTGGAATAGCTCATAGGAACTACCATACACACTGGCCTACCGTAATACCCAAAATCCGATGAGAGATAACAAAGTGAGTCGTATCAATTCCTTTTAGTACTGCATTTTTCATTTAAATTTTTGCATACATGTACATATATTTCGACTTAAAATATATATCCAAATATATAAAGATTGTTTATTGGCCACTAATGCTTACCTTCGTGTATCAAAACAAAAAATATCCTCAAATTTAAAACAAAAAAATTCAAGTATTTTACTTGCACATATGTCCGGTGATCCCGGTATGATCAAGAATAAGCAGGATTGCCTTAAATAAGTAAGCAAACGTAAAGGCAAATACAAGAGTAAAAATTGAGATATCATGATGAAACTTTGTACACGTGATTTCTTGGCTCCATAAGAAGGTTAAGTTCG